CTACCTTCTCCTCTCTGTCAACGCTCTCTGGTTTCATTTAAAAGAGTCGATCATCAGATATTGTCCAAGATTAACCTTCAGCGTGGATATAGCTCGTTAGCAGCCTCGCACCGATGACCTATCCACGTCATCATTTACCCAGAATGTTTTGTGTGTAAATAAAATGGCCCCGTCCATGTAATATATTTTTAAACTTTTAGTTTAAAAATTATAAAAACTAAGCCTACAGTATTTTTTGTCTTTATTTTACAGTTAAATTATATGTTTTTTAAATAAAGTCTAATGTTACAACTAATCGCGGATCCCTTTAAGAAAGAAAGCTTTTGTACAAATTCTTATAAAGGTTATAAACATGTTTCTAATAAAGGTATACAATTTAAGTCATTACTGTTGCATTTTGTTTGATAAAAATCAAATATTGGGAGTGTTAGCGTTAACTAACGAACTAACTAACTAACTAACAAACAAACAAACAAACAAACAAACAAACAAACAAACAAACATCAGTCGACCTCAACACTAGGGATGGCGGCCATCTTGAATCAGGTAAATATTCAGGTTGGGCAGTATGAAGGTATTTTTTATGTCACAAGGTGACGGTAAGAGTCACGAGAGGAGAAGCACATGAAAACTGGGATAAATGACGCCCCATGCTGTTACTGACATGTTCTGAAAAAATAAAATAAAAAAAATTAAAAACCGTGAGCTCGCTCTGCAGACGAGGAAATGAGTGCAAACTTTATCGGCACAAAATCTTTTCTTGCTGAAAGCATGCAGCTGCTTTGAAATGACCACAGTAAGTCAGTTTGTTTTGAATGTTAAAACTCTAAAAGGACATTTTGACTTGTTTGATCTGTTCAACATGAGAGGTGAACTCACTCTGTGACTCCTGCTGCTCTGAGTGACAGCAAYGCCAGAGCAGCTGTCTATCTCTGGCTTTAAGTACGTAAATTCTCACAAGCAGCCGTTTTTCTGTTAAACAATAATTACTCAACATGCCACAGCCTCCCCTCCAGTAATACTGTATACCCCGGTGTTTTCTAAAGATCATGACACGGTATAACAATGAGCAATACTGCCCATTCCTATGAGGTTGTATTGAAATCCTCCTCGAAGTTTGTCTGATATTTTGCTGACAAACAYGCACACTCAAGGCTCTTTCATGAAACAGTTCAGTGAAACACCCGTMCAGACCGGTCTCTCTTTATTGGTGCCTCTGGTCATTTATAAACAACCCGATCACATCCCACACAGACGGGAGTTTTCAGAAATGAAGCGAGCATCACGGAACMTAAAGAGCAGAACTCATCTGGGTTAACGCAGAGCTTCAACACAGTCAATATGTGAGGATTCTGCCCCGTGTTGTTTTCAAAACATTAAGAACAAACTCAGTGGGCATTACTTCTAAGTTTTTATTTTATTTTTTTTATTCTTCTATTGTTTTGTATTTTCTAGGTTCTTTTTTGGTTTTATAACATTTTTAATTTTAAATTGTTAAGCCCTCTGTGCTTCAAACAGGAGTTGAGTAAATATTTTTAATCATTTGGGAAACAAGCCTGAGACAGCTGAGATATTACACGACTCATCAAATCAGCTGTTTTTATTCTTGTTAAAAAAACAAAGTGTGTTTTCAGCAGATGAAGTGTGTTTATTCTAGTGCAGCCTCGCTACGGAGGCTAAAAACTCTAATAAATTATTTAATACTGGCTCATCAGATAACTAATGTTACTTTAGAAACAGCAGAGCAAAACATTATTTTAGAATGATAAATAAACAAACACATAAAACAGGGTTCCTACAGTTTAAAGCAAGTTAAATTTATGACTTTTTAATGCCAAGTGAAATTTAATTTAAGAACAATTTCATAATAAACACAAATGACAAAACAATAAAAACAGTCAGAAACTTATGAATCAAAGTATTTTTGG